TACATGTATGTGTGCATGTGTGTATGCATGCAGGTGTGCGTGTGTGTACAAGTGTGTTGGTGATGGGCATGACTGCATGCATGTGTGCATGTATGAGTGTGCATGCGTGTATATGTGTGCACATGCTTGTGTGTGCATGTGTATGTGGGCACATGCTCGTGTGTGCATGTGTGCACATGGCTCGTGTGTGCATGTGTATATATGTGTGCACATACTCGTGTGTGCATGTATGTATATCTGTGCACATGCTTGTGTGTGCATGTGTGTATGTATATGTGTGCACATGCTTATGTGTGCATGTGCATATGTGTGTGCACATGCTCGTGTGTGCATGTGTATGTGTGCACATACTCGTGTGTGCATGTGTGTATGTATATGTGTGCACATGCTTGTGTGTGCATGTGCATATGTGTGCACATACTTGTGTGTGCATGTGTGTATGTATATGTGTGTACATGCTTATGTGTGCATATGCATATGTGTGCGCATGCTCGTGTGTGCATGTGTATATGTGTGCACATGCTCATGTATGCATGTATGTATATGTGTGCATGTGTGCACATGCTCGTGTGTGCATGTGTGCATGTATATATGTGTGTGCATGTGTATGTGTGCACATGCTTGTGTGTGCATGTGTATATGTGTGCACATGCTCATGTATGCATGTATGTATATGTGTGCATGTGTGCACATGCTCTTGTGTGCACGTGTGTATGTATATGTGTGCATGTGTATGTGTGCACATGCTTGTGTATGCATGTATGTATATGTGTGCATGTGTGCACATGCTCTTGTGTGCACATGTGTATGTATATGTGTGCATGTGTATGTGTGCACATGCTTGTGTGTGCATGTGTGTATATGTGTGCACATGCTCGTGTGTGCATGTGTGTATGTATATGTGTGCACATGCATGCATGACTGGATGTGCTTGTCTCTGTGCTGAAGCGGGAGGGATACCCTGTGGACACAGAGTGAGGAGGAACCCCTGAGCGCCACAGCCCTGCTGTAGGGTTCAGCAGAGGAGCAATTTGAGAATTTGGGGAATGTCACATGTTTTCATGCAAAAAGGTGGCTAATACATTGAAGTGAAGGATTCCAGTTTTAAGTGTTGGGCACACACAGTTAAGGGCCCCACAGGCCGCTGTTGGCTTTCCTTGTGGATTTAGCTTCTTGGCCTCAGAGTGATGTCTGGGCTGTAGTGTGTGCACTCTGGGAGCCGACAGGGTGCACAAGTCCAGGGCGCCATTTGCTGCCACACGTGGGGTGTGGAGCCCACTTGAGGAAGGTGTGTGCCCGAGGCTCCTGGGCTGGGTTGAACCAGTGTCTGCCGGAGAAAATGTCTTCTCTGGATGATTTATGGTCATAATTACTATTAGTAGGTGGCTGATATTTAAAATGAAATTTGCTCTTTCATAATTTTAGAACAAATAACACAAATAACTTAGCAGTCAAATTAGCATATCGACTGGCTGGGTGAAATATGCATAACATTTGCAGCTCTGGTGATAATGTGAAACGCTGCTGCTGTGTTTGCCTCTCACCGTGGAGGGCTGCAGGTTTTCACTGCTGCTTCTCATCAGTCTTCTGGAGTAATGAATCAGGCTGGGCACATGCCAGTAACAGGTGGTTTTCCAAGGTCAGGATCCAAAAGATCCTTTGATGCACATCTCGTTCAGATCACATCTAATTGTCAGCCACGATTAAGGCAGAGACAGGAGGAAAAGAGGCTTTCTTCCTGGTGCCTCTCCTAGCAGAGCTCCATCATCTGCCATTTCCACATGACAAACAAGGAGTTAGAACGAGAGCTCTGCCTGCAGGGTCCCTGCATCTGCCTTCCCCCAAGGTCTCTGTTCCTCCACACTGGAGATGCACCCTAGAATTCTGGGCAGAGTCCTGTACTCCTGCCAGAGCTGGGACCAGAGACGTTCCACGACGTCGGACTAACCTCCAGCACGTTTCCGGTGTGGTCACTCCTTACTGTTCCCAGCTCCTTCTCTGTGAGCCTCTGTGTGCCTAGGGTGGAGGGGCCCTCACCGCTGAGGCTCTTCCCCTGGGAGGCAATGAGGGGAGCCTCGGAGGTCAGTGTGTGAGGATCTGAGAGGTCCGCTAACCTTCATGCTGACCTTTTCAAGGTCATTGCTTTTGTGGGGAGTGGTGTCTGCCTCTCCTCCTGCAGTTCCAGTGCCAGGTGTGTGTCTCTCAGAACGTTCCCTGCCACGCTCCTGTTGGCCATTCACCTCCTCTGCCTGGCTCAGGCACTTGTTGAATGAATAATGCAGAGAATGCAGACCCAGTGTGGGGTTAGCTCATGGGTAAATGGGATTAAGAAATGAAATGTTGGCCAGGTGCGGTGGCTCATGCCTATAATCCCATCACTTTGAGAGACCAAGGCAGGTGGATCACTTGAGGTCAGGAGTTCGAGACCATCCTGGCCAACATGGTGAAATCCCATCTCTACTAAAAATACAAAAAAATTAACCTGGGCATGGTGGTGCACACCTGTAGTCCCAGCTACTTGGGAGGCTGAGGCAGGGGGATTGTTTGAACCTGGGAGGCAGAGGTTGCATTGAGCCAAGATCACGCCACTGTACTCCAGCTTGGGTGACAAAGCAAGACTCCATCTCAAAAAAAAGAAAAAAAAAAAAAAAAGAAGAAATGCTCTTTTTCACGAGATTATGTTATTTCAAAACAAAACAAAACACCCCAAAAAACCAAAAACAACCTGCTGGGATTGGAGGCTTCCGTCAGTGGGCGTCCACCCGCCTGTTCTGGGTGACCACCCGCCTGTTCTGTGTGACCACCCGCCTGTTCTATATGACCACCCGCCTGTTCTGGGTGTCCACTCGCCTGTTCTATGTGACCACCCGCCTGTTCTGGGTGTCCACCCGCCTGTTCTGTGTGACCACCCACCTGTTCTGTGTGTCCACCCGCCTGTTCTGTATGACCACCCACCTGTTCTGGGTGTCCACCTGCCTGTTCTATGTGACCACCCGCCTGTTCTGTGTGTCCACCCGCCTGTTCTGTGTTACCACCCGCCTGTTCTGTGTGACCACCCGCCTGTTCTGTGTCCACCCGCCTGTTCTGTGTGACCACCCGCCTGTTCTGTGTGACCACCCGCCTGTTCTGTGTGACCACCCACCTGTTCTGTGTGTCCACCCGCCTGTTCTGTATGACCACCCGCCTGTTCTGGGTGTCCACCCGCCTGTTCTGTGTGACCACCCGCCTGTTCTGTGTGACCACCCGCCTGTTCTGTGTGTCCACCCGCTTGTTCTGTATGACCACCCGCCTGTTCTGGGTGTCTACCTGCCTGTTCTGTGTGACCACCCGCCTGTTCTGTGTCCACCCGCCTGTTCTGTGTGTCCATCCGCCTGTTCTGTGTGACCACCCGCCTGTTCTGTGTGTCCACCCGCCTGTTCTGTGTGTCTACCCGCCTGTTCTGTGTGACTGCTGGCAGGCGGTGGTGGTGGGCATGGGCTGGGCAGGCCAGGGCTGCACCTAGGCCACCTCCTGGAAGGAAGCAGACCCCAGCCAGGGGCCACCCTGCGACTGTGAAAGGCTCCCGAAGCTGTTATGAGATGAGGGAAACGACCTCCTCCCGTGAACTCCCAGCATTGGGTCCTGCTAGGCTCTGTCCTGCCTTAGTTCCGGAATGATGTTTAGTTTTAAAGCATCTGCATGTGCTGGTTTAAGGCAACCGATTGCTTCCTCTGTAAGGCTTTTAGGCCAGCTCCCTCATGAGGAAGTAGTGACTGGAAACTTTAACGTGACCCTGTTGGTGAATCTGTCAGTGATTCATAACTTTCTCCGGATTCCTCAGTTTCTTTGTGCACCGATTTGCTCCTGGGCACCTGCCCTGTGTCAGACACACAGAGGGCATGGGAGGAAAGGGTACTGAGGGTGGAAAGAGGCATGCGCCCGGCTCCTGAACTCCAGGAGAGGGAGATACACCCTAATCCACAGTCACTGCACAGTGTGGTGAGTCCGGAAACAGACGCCTGGGCAGCGGTGGGGGGAGAGTCTGGGGCTCCCGCGGGGATCTTAGCGGATGAACAGGCGTTTGTCGGTTGGTGAAGCAGGATTGAAGGTACTATGCTTCGCAGGAATGAGTGAAGGACACGGCGTGTTCAGACCACACCCGGCCTTCGCTGGCAGTGAGACTCCCGCGTCATGACCCTGGGGCCCCCCCGGTTCTAGTGTTCTGTCTGCTCACGCCCTTGCCAGAGCCACTGCCTAGCGGGGTGGTGCTTTCTGGACCCATCTGTCTGTGTTTTAAGATGGGCGTGGACGTGGAGCCGAATGCCAGCCTTTGCCAGACTGCCCGGCCGCGGTGGATGCGCGGCTTGGGGTCGCCCGGCACCACGGAGCTTTTGGAGCCCCTTCCTAGGTGCGGATGGAGGTGCTGCCTCTGCCCGGCGTCTTCTCCAGGGCCTGGCCCTGCCTCTCTGGCTTTTCCTGCCCATCTTTGTCTCCGCTGCCTCCTTTCCTCTCCCGACACTCTCATGTGTCTCTTGTCTGTGGCCACGGACGCCACGGTTTGCTTCCCACGCAGATGGGCTCTCCGTGGAGCGTGGTACCTCCCTGGAAGCCTCCGCTCCCCGGGGCCCTGCAGCCTCACTTCGGGAGACCCGGTGCGCGCAGTGGGCACCCGGTCCAGGGGAGGTGCTGGGCCCAGGGGAGTCCCCGGCCCCGCTGCTGATCCTGCCGCCCGGGGTCTCCTATGCTCCTATCATGACGCTGGCTTGACCCTCAGCCGAGAGATGTGGGCCTGGTCCAGGTGAGAGCTGGGCTCCGGGACAAGGCCAGGAGGCCTCGCACGTGGTTGAGTCAGGGGCGCAGCGTTCTGGCTTCAGAATAATGGTCACCATCTCGGAAAAGCTGGATCGGAGGAACCTGCTCGGCCGGCAGTTTCTCTGACTCACCAGTGGGCCAGGGCGGCAGCCTCGGGGGCACCCCCTCCTCCCCCCAGCTGACCGTGTCTCTTCTCTGTTTCCCTGCAGGCTGCCTACTCGAGGAGGGCCTCTGCGGAGCGTCCGAGGCCTGTGTGAACGGTGAGTGTGGGGTCCTGGCTGCTGCGCCCTGGTCTGCCCCTCTCCTGCCCGCCGTGCGCAGTGCCCAGCCTGGTGAGCCTGGCCTCTGGCCTGGAGTTGGGGCCGCCCAGGCGCGCTGCTGAGAGGAGGCGGGTGGAGCCCCGGAGCCATGGGCTGCGGCCTCATTGGGTCGGGGGGAAGAGGGTGCCCGGGTGCTGGGCACTCATCGCACCAACCCTTGCTTTCTGATTTTGTTTTGTTCTGTCCTTCGGCAAGTTTTTCATCCTTGTTTAAAAAAATTTTTTGAGAGAGAGTCTTGCTCTGTCTCCCAGGCTGGAGTGCAGTGGTGCTATGTCTCACTGCAACCTTCGCCTCCGGGGTTCAAGCGATTCTCCTGCCTCAGCCTCCTGAGTAGCTGGGACTACAGGTGTGCGCCGCTCCCCCTGGCTAACTTTTTTGTGTTTTTAGAAGAGACAGGGTTTCACCATGTTGGCCTCAGGTGATCCGCCCGCCTCGGCCTCCCAAAGTGCTGGGATTACAGGTGTGAGCCACCACGCCCGGCCAGGTTTTTCGTCCTTTAAGCCACCTATTTTCCTCTCTTATTAGGCGGATAAGAAAACACGTGCAAATGCTGCATTTTCAGGCTGGGCTGAAAGCCCATGAGGAGGGCAGTTACTATGAAATACAGGGAGCAGCGGTCCCGCGGAGTCCCTTCCGTCTGGTGGGTTCAGACAGAGGGCATCTCCAGAGCAGAGGCCGCCCCGTCCTGTCTGATGCTGATGAACTGGGCGCTGTGTGCTCTGAAGGCGCAGGGGAGGCGTAAACTCCAGTATCCTCAGAAAAGCGCTGGGCAGAGCCGCCTTTCTCCAAGTCAGGGGCTGCCTGTGGGCCCGGGACGCGCTGAGCGTGGCCTTCTCTTTCCCCAGCTCCCAGCCCGTCTGTCCTCAGACTGTGGGCAGGAGTGGATTTAATCCTAGCCAGGATGGAGGGGCCTGCCCAGAGGCCCTTGCACCCACTAATCTCTGCACAGACGTGGGTGCTGGCGGGGTGCTGGCCTGGGGTGCCACCCTCCTGAGGTATTTCAGGACAGGCCTCACCTGCACTGCTGCATCCTGGGGGAGCCGAGGTGGATGCCTCTGAGGGTCCCAGAAGCGAAACCGAGGAGCTCATGCGCCCTGGGGTGGGACCAGTCCTGGGTTCCGGACCGAGCCTCTTGTGTCTGTGCCTAGGCAGCTTCTGGGGTCGGGAGGGGAAGCCACGCTGGAGGCGCCAAGAGGAGAGCAGGTCCTCGGCCACCGCAGCTTCTGCTGTTGCCTCTTGTTTGGGGAGATTCCTGTGCCGAGTGTGACAAGTGGGAACCGGCAGCTCGTGGGGTGCAGCGTGGGTGGCGGGTGAGGTTCTGGCCCAGCCCAAGACCCCCGGGGCTCCCTGGCATCTACTCCGTGCAGCTTTAATTTGGAGGCAGCCTTAAGAAAAATAGGGATATTGAAAAGCCTATGTCGTCTGCCTGGACTCAACAGCATTTGATGATAATGGAAGCAGGTGTGTGTGTTTAATTTAATTGGAGCTGTGAGTAGCTCCAGCAGAATAAAAGCCGAGGCTGTTTCCCCAGCTCCTTGACAAAGGCCAGCCTGGGTGTCTGGCTGTGATCGTTCTCAGACGTTTTTCTCCCCAACCTTGACTTGCCTCCGGGACATGGAGTCGTCTCAACATCATATCCAGATAATGACTGTGGATTCTTTGGAAGAGAAAAGCAATTTAAATGTAAATACCCATATTCAGGCCTTGATTTATAGAAACAGATGATATTTGATTTTTTTTTTATGATGCAGTGGAGGTCTAGGAAACAGCGAAGCCAGAGGCGCCCAATCTTAGAAAACTGCTTTGCGAGGCTGACGGGAGCGATAGGAGAAGTGGTTCCTGCGCTGCTGGCTCAGATTTATGGTTGCCATGGTGACTGGTTTAGCCCGAGGCTGGTGGGCCAGGGGTGCAGCAGCCCAGGGTGCGGTGGGGGGTGGCTCCAAGTCCAGAACATTCTGTCACCAGCCGCAGGGTCTGTTTCTCTGGCTCCCTCTCTCTCTTTCCCCCTCTCTTTCCTTAAGGTACATGCAGGAATATATAATCTTATCAGGCTTGGATATGTTTTTTAAAAGCCCAACAGACCTTGTTAATAGAAAGAAAGTCAAAAGATAAACATACTGCCTCACACCCATTAGGGTGGCTAGTTTTTAAAAAACCCTGAAAATCAGTGTTGGTGAGAATGTGGAGAAATCGAACACTTGTGCACTGCTGATGGGAATGTAAAATGGCGTTGTTGCTGAGGGAAACACTATGGTGGTTTCCTAAAAAATTAAAAATAGAGTTTGTAATTTGCCTCAGCAACCCCACTTCTGGGTACGTACCCCATAACACGGGAAGCAGAGACTTGAAGAGCTGTTTGCACACCCACGTTCATAGCAGTTAATGCGCAACAGCCAGAGGCGAAAGCAGCCCAGTGTCCGCTGACGGGCAGATGGACAAGTGGAACGTCCATCCACGTGATGGAATAGTACGCAGCCCCGAAGAGGAAGGGAGCGCTGACATGCTGCAACATGCGTGGACCTTGAGGCTGTTATGCGGAGTGAAATAAGCCAGTCACAAAAGGACAAATAATGATTCCACGCATGTGACGTACTAAAGACAGTCAAGTTCATAGAGACAGAAGGTAGAGTGAGGGGACCAGGGGCTGGGGGACTGTTGGGGTGTCAGTGTGTAATTGGTGGAGTTTCAGTTTGGGACGATGGAAAAGTTCTGGGAATAGATGGTGGTGATGACTGATCAAAAGTGTGAACGTAGTTAACACCACCGAACTGTACACTTAAAAATGGCTAAGATGGTACATTTTAATGTGACATCTATTTTACCACAATATGCAATTGAAACTATGAAATTGCAGCCTCCGCATGTGCGTGTTTAATGTAATCGAGTGCTTCAGCTGTGAGGGTTTTAGGCCAGCTCCCTCAGGAGGAAGTGGTGATTAGAAACTTTAAAGCGACCCTGGGGGTCAATTCCTTGGTAATTCATAACTCTGGAGTAACTTTGATTACTATAGAAAAGATTGTAAGTGTTCTGGAAGTGAAAACTTAAGATAAAGCAGTCACGTAATCCTGGAACAGCTTGTAGAAAAGAGAGTTTAGATGCTGTTACATGGGCATCCTAAATATGAGGAAAACAGGTTTCAAATAATTTTTAAAGTGGATTTGATTTCATGGTTGATAACTTTAAATGGGACACATCCAAAAACAGGTGGTATGTCCTAAAAATTCTAAAGCTATAATAACTACTCCACGATAGAAAAATGGAAAACAAATCTATGAAGATTAAAATAGATCACACTTATGTCAGGAAGCGAGCTGGTTGCTTTCACGCCCTGCTGGTGGGAGCATGGCCTGGCATGATCGTGATGGACGCTGACTGGCCAGCGTGTTCACACCACGTAAGTGAGGTAGCCCGTGACTCAGCAATCCGATTCGTGAGAATATGCCCTAAGAAAATAATCCATTACGCAAAATACTAAAGAAAACTTGAAGCACAAAGTTGTTCTTTGCAGTGGTGTTGATATTAATTTTAAAACAGTAGACAAATCGTTAATATTAAACAAATGAGAATGCTTCTTTAAAGCCATGTTATGGTCACATGATTCAAATGTTAAGCAGACATTAAAAGGGAAGTGTTCAAAAAGTTGTTAATAACATCAGAAAGTGCAGGTGGTAGAAAGTAAATGAAAAACTCAGGATCCAAAACTGAACGTCTAATACGATGACAGCTATGTGAAAATATGGATAGCAGAAAAAGCTAAAAGAAATATACGAAACTGTGAATAGTGGCTCTCTCTGGGTGGCGACTTTTATTTTCTTCATATTTCTCTGGTTTTCCAATTTTTCATGCCAGCGTGTTCCTGCTAAAAGAAGAGAGGTGGGAAGGAGGCACATGAACGAACCACCACTCCCTTTTAGCTCAGATCCCTGGAAACAGCCACCCAGAAAGGAGGAGAGGCCTGAGCAGGGGGGGCGCAGAGGGGTGGCTGAGCAGGGGGAGCGCAGAGGGGTGGCTGAGCAGGGGGAGCGCAGAGGGGTGGCTGAGCAGGGGGAGCGCAGAGGGGTGGCTGAGCAGGGGGGGCACAGAGGGGTGGCTGAGCAGGGGGTGCGCAGAGGGGTGGCTGAGCAGGGGGAGCGCAGAGGGGTGGCTGAGCAGGGGGGGCGCAGAGGAGTGGCTGAGCAGGGGGGGCGCAGAGGAGTGGCTGAGCAGGGGGGGCGCAGAGGGGTGGCTGAGCAGGGGGAGCGCAGAGGGGTGGCTGAGCAGAGGGGGCGCAGAGGGGTGGCTGAACAGGAGGAGTGCAGAGGGGTGGCTGAGCTTCTAAGAGTGCGTCACGACCACACCACAGCGCTGGAGCCCAGGGACAGAAACCCCGGACGTCCAGGAGGGCAAGGGGAGAAAGTTGAGCTCCCTGCTTGGAGGGAGGTGGAAGAATGGTGACAGGTAGGGGAGGGATGGCTCAGCTACACACCTGTCGGCTCCGTGTCTTGTGGCTCAAGGCTGAGTTATGCTGTGACGACCCACAAGCCCTGCGCTCGGTGGCCCAGGTGACATGGGCCTGTGGGCCGTTGCAGGGTGTCTGCCTTCCCTCTGCAGGTGCCCTCCCGGGACGCTGCCAGCCAGGGCCACAGCAACAGCTGCTGGGAGGGGTACCCTTGCGCTCGTGGCTCACTCTGCGGGCCACGCTGATGGTGGGGAGGCTCCTCCTGCAGCTGACTCCCCGTGGCGGGGTCACAGCCACAGCCTTCACGTCTGCAATGGCAGCATATTCAATTCCAAGCCCTTTCTCCGCTGAAGAGGGCAGAAGACCACCAGGAACCGAGGACGTCTGCGGTGCTGGAGTGTTGTTCGGCCGTGGAAAGGAAGGAAGGAAGCACCTGCACACTGATGCGGAGGAACTTGGAAAACTCTGTGTTCAGTGGAAGAAGCCGAGTCACAAAAATCAC